CAATACAATTACCTTGAGAGGGGTGCCTCCTTTGAATGCTGGTCAGGACTTGCTTCTTTTTGACCCAGCCACTGACTCTCTAAGACTTGGTATCTGCAGATGTAAAGATAATTATTCTAATGCTTCCTCCATTTAATAAGGAAACTCTGCCTTTCCTATGCCCCTCCTAATTTTCCCTATTGGTTGTGGTAGGGAGAGGGAGCTAGGAAAAATAAAAAGGCAGACGTGGATTATTTCACTTAAGAATGAATTCAGTGAAGAATTTGTTCTTTGAATTTTTTCTTCTAAGAGCATTGAGACCTTTATCTTCTTTTTTTACTTGGAGAGAGTAATAATTAAATATGACAGTTAAGAAGCTTCATAAATTAATACTATGGCTTCTATGTTTGTTACTCATCTTAAGAAAACTATGGTTTAATTTCTTATTTGCAGTTACAGAATAACAAACATATTGTCAAATGTCTCAGAATTTTTGGAAATTGATCAAGTACATTTTTATAGTTTTCTTCAATATTCTAAAATTTAATAGAATTGAAGGATAAACCAATATCTGCAATAACAATAAGAGGATATAAATAATCTTTTCTCCATTGGATTAAACACATTTGAGAACTTAAGCTCAACGTTCCTATGCTAGGGGAATTTGTGAAATATGTCTACACTACTGCACACCCATTCCAACTCCTTACAACCCATTGGACTTAGAATCTCCCAAATTTTAGACAGTACACATTACATTATCGACTAATCTACTTTCTGTATACTTTTTCAATTGGTGTGGCCATGCATATGAGAAATGTAGGTCATTTTCATTTGGCATAATAGATGTCTTAATTCCACAGTGATTTATTTATTATTTTCACATATTCATCTATGTTATACCATACACCAGAACAATGGTACATGTGCTTGTTCTGAATAACTTACCCTTGAGAAATCACCAGTGTACTTACGAACAAAAATGCAAAAATGTTTGTAAGGCATCCCTAGAATAGTAAAAAGGAACACTGAACTTGGGATCATAATGCCCAGGTTTGACTCTCAGCTCTGTCATTTTATTACTATGTGAGCTTGGTCAACTTATATATAAATGCCATGTTTCTCACCTATAGAAAGAGAATAATTCATTTACTATTTACCAGAATAAGTTGATGTCAAATTGAATTAGAATATTCATGGAAATGCTTTGCAAACTCTGTAGCACTGTGTAAAAATATTAAGACTTAACTTACTTGTGCATTGAATTCTTCTAATAATTTTTTATTAATAAATATGTTTAATGTATTTTTAAACTCATCATTCCTGAACTTCTAACGACAACTTTGTTTATTTATTCAATAGATATTTATTGAGTATTCATTTTTAGTAGGCATTGTGGATTCGGTAGGAAACAGGACAGACCCAGTTCCTGCCATGAGGGAATAATGATTTATTGGAAAGAGGTACCACAAACAAAAAAAAGTGGCTGTGATTGATTGATCTCTGATTAACAGAGCAAGTATGCTTCCACTCAGCCATTTCTTGTGGACAAAATTCCTTCATTCATCTTTTTTTCCAAGAACTTCACAAAGATAGGAAGTCAGAGCTTGGCTGCAGTTAAAGCACTGGGTGCCTGCGTGAAAATCAATATCAAAATAAGCACTGCACAACAATAATATGCAATATTGTTTTTTCTGAGAATTGGGGTAATCTCTTTAAAGTTAACAAAAATTATGTATACTTGTGTTATACTGACTTGGCTCATAATAAAATTTTTCTTTCTCTTTTACACTAAATACATATTCTATGAAGTCAATATTATTTTAGGAGTTCCAATTTATGTTTTTATTTTGATCGAATATTGGAACTTAGTAGAAAGGATGTCAGAAGCTAAGGACTTTGGTGTGCATATTCCCCAAATTTGAGTTTAAATTCAATAATTGTGTAAGAAAGATCCTTATGTGGACTTTTTATCATATAACATTATAAGCTTAATGTTTATATTAAAATTATTCATGTCTTCTCCAATGTGAATTCAAGGATATTAGAAAGTTTTAGGAAAGTAGACCAAGCTTCTTGTTATCCTAAATAAAAAGCATTATTTATCATCATGTTATTTATAAGGAGAAAAGAGATTATTAACTATTTCATATTTAAATACCAATCAAGTTTATATAAAATGTTAAATACCTGGAAGTATTCCTATCAAATTCTTGGGGATTTTCATATGACCCTGGATGTGCTTCTGTTAGGTTGATTTTTAAAAAGCAGAAGAATTTCTGACATGTGATTTATATCCAATAATGAGAGAAGGGAATTTCAGACCAGCTTACTCATCTGTCTTAAGATGTCAAGTTTAGGAAAACAGGGCAGTGTAAAAATGATTTGAGAGTAGAAAATTTGAAAGGAAACAAATCTTCCTCTCTTTCTCTTTCTTTCTTACAAAGCATTCTCTGTGTGATTGAATAGTACTTTGTAGTAACTTTGAGCTTCCTGAGGTCTTAACAGATATTAAAGGCATACCCTTGGCTTTACAGCTAGATCAATGTTTCTGACAGTGGCTTTAATTTGAACTTTGGAAGCCATTTCATAAATTTAGCATATCTTCCTGTCAAGAAAGGCCGAGAATTTTAAAAGCAATTAAATCCAGACTCCTCTTAACAGTTTGTCCTTCAGTTTATAATTACTTCTGTTGTTTTTCTATTTTATTGTCAGCAGCAAGAAGCCAGGCATACTTTTAATGCTTTGGAAATCTTCTTATCTAGATCATGCAATTCATTAGGTCCATTTCCACTTTCCCAGCAGCTTCAGGAAACAAAGATACCTTCCTCCAGTTTCCAAGAACATGTACCTCACTTTTTTCTGACCTATCACCAGCAGTGACCTTAAAGTCCATACATTTCTACTAAGAGTCTGCTCAAGGAAATTTAGGATTTCTCTGACATGCTTCTTAATATACTTCTAGCCTTTATTCACTGCCTGCTTTCAAAGCCACTTCCACATTTTTGAGTATTTATGTACTTCTAAGTATCAAATTTTGTATTATTTTCTATTGCTGCATAACAATATATGCTTGATGGTCACTTCTACAAAGTATTGTGGTGGAGGTCCTAGCTAGAGCAGTAAGGAATTAAAGAAAAAAGACTGAACAAAGGTAAAATTCTCATAATTTGCAGATTTGTGTCTGTAAAAGATTTAGATGAATGTTTAGGAAAATTATCAGCATTACTAAGCATCACTATATTACATGGTCAACACATGAAATCAATGATATTTCTATATATCAGCAATGAAAATATAAAATTTAAAAATATCATTTCTAATACAAAAATCAAATATCTACTAAATCTAATGAAATACGTTAAAACTCTACACTGAAAAATATGAAACTTTGCTGTATTAGTTCTCTGTTGTCCCATAAAAAATTACCACAAACACAAATTTATTATATTACAGTTCTTAAAGTCAGAAGTCTAGTGTGAGTTTTAGCAGACTAAGACAAAGGTCTCAGCAGACTGCATTCCTTTCTGAAGGCCCTGGAGGAGAATGTTTCCTGGTCATTCAAGTTGCTGACAGAACAGTTCCTTGTGGTTATACAACTAAGAGGTTCACGTTGTTTTTGTTTTAGTTGTAAATTGGGGAATTTTAGTTTTTGGAAGTTTGTGCATTTCTTGACTTGTCCCTTTCCTCCACCTTCAAAGCCAGATGGTCCTTCTCATGTCATATCTCTCTGATTCATTTTTCTGCCTTTCTTTTCCAGTTTTAGGGACTAATGTGATTAGGGCTCACTTGAGTAATCTATGATAATCCTCCTACTTTAAGGTTCTAAACTTTAATTACATCTGCAAAGTTCCTTTTAATATGAAGGATACAATATTTACAGGTTCCAAGAATTAGGGTATAAATATCCTTTGGGGGTAAGTATTATTCTGCCTATCACAATTATAAAGCAGATTTAAAATGACCTAATAAAGCAGAGAGATCTACCATTTTCATGAATTGGAAGACAATATTTTTAAAATGTGAATTCTCCCCAAACTGAACTGTACACCATTTTGTAACTGGTAGTTCAATTCTTAAGTTTATATAAAAATGCAGAGCCAATAACTCAGTAACTTATACTACCAGTTAACAATTTTTTTGTTTATATATAGTAATTAGGCCATTATGCTATTTGTGCAAGAATAGTCAATTAGATCAGTGGAATAGAGGAACGTAAATGTAATTTTCTGATTTATGACAAAGGAAAAAGAAACAGAAACAGATTCCCCTTTCAATAAATTAATCATGATCAATTAAATATCTCCATGGAAAAAACAAAAAGAATCTTGAACCCCATCTGATACAATCTACCAAAAATTTAATTTGGATATATTATATATCTAATACGAATGTAATAGTAAATAAGGTACAGTTGACATCTGTAGCGATGTGTCATCAAATGATGACTTTATCCTCTTTAGTTATCAATTTGGAGGCCTGGGTATTGATGCTATCTTCAGTGATAGAATTGGAAGCGGAAGATTCTGAGGATGAGATTGTAGCACATGACAGAGCTGTGGGGGTAGCAAAAGTGGGAGTTGTGACACTGAAGGATGTAGATATGGTACATTCACTGGCGGTGGCACCAATCCCTAGGGTTGTGGTAACTATTGCAGTTGTGTCTCTAACAGGTGTGGAGACTGTGGCAGCAGCAGTGGTGGAAGCACATTCCACAGGGAATGTGGAACCTGTGTTTGCTAACGTTGTAGAAGCAGCTTGAGTGGTGGAATCATCTGTGGGTGGCATCATTCACCATGTTTTTTTCAGCTTCTACGTTTTCTGTGGTAAAATCAGAAGCAACGGTGAAAGCACAGGCTATCAAGGTGGTGGAGCCAGCCCTTGGGTTGGTGGAGGTTGTGGCACTGGGAGAGGCAGACCCTTGGAGTGTGGATTCCATTGAAGCAGCTTCAGAGGCTGGACAGATGCTGGGGCAGTTGCAGTGGAAGTAGGCACTGTGATGCAACCTGCTACATCAGACTACCACATTGCTGAGTTGGCGATTGATGTCATTAGGGTTGTGGTAGCAGTGATTGAGAATAGCTTTAGGTATGCTGGTGGTTGCATCTGATCCCTGAATTGCAGTTGAAGTAGTTTTAGCTAATGTCATAGAGGTTTTACTTTTGGATATGGTACAAGTGATTATGGCTAAATTAATTGTAGCTCTAAGGACAGTGGAGATTATACTGGTCGGGGCACCAGTTGCAATGTCTTCAATGCTTGATGACCTTGTCATAAATTTTGGTTTATGACTGTGGTTTGCAGGGTCCCGCATGTTTATGAGAGATAAATTTGCCAAGTTGGAGTCGATGAGTTTGGTGCAAATGATGCTAGTGCTTTGCTTAGGCCTGACTTATAGACTTTGGACAGATTTTTTTCTTTAATTATTCACTTATCAATTGAAGATAATTAGCTGTCTTCTTTGTTAAAACAAAGGAGGATACAGATTTGACAGGCATGGATTTTTGTTTTGGGCACTCAAAGGTAAAGATAAAGCTCTTTGTGTATTTACATTGTGATGATACAAAAGCATATGAACCCATGTAACTTCCTATTGAGGTGGGTGGATGGAGATCTTTTGTAATGTCCAGGCAGGAGAGTTTTGGACTGGTCAACTGCTTTTTTTCTTTTCTGTTGTCTGGTGTTATAATTGTTGACTTTCTCTGCACTCTAGGAAATGATATTACTGAGTGAAACTCTTAATTAGTTATCATGTGATATTTTCATTGCTGCCATGTAAAGTGGCCTTGTTTCTTAATTTTATTTTTTAAGTTCTGGGGTACATATTAAATGAGTAAATACATTTAATCAAATAGAAGATTGACTGGTAAATAATATGTACTTTATAACTGCTGATTGCTTATTGTTATCAGATATTATTATTGTTTGTATCATAACAATTCTTATAATATCTTATATAATAGGTGATAAGATTTTAAATTAATAATGTAAATTTTTGCCTCTTCCACATATTTACTTTGTTTTTCAAGAAATTAATAATATCATTAATGATCATAGCAAATGAGGGCTAGCCATGTCATATTCCTTTCATGTCTCTATTCCAGATTCTCCATTTGAGTGAGAGAGCAGGTAAAAGACTGAATCACTCTTAATAATAGCACATCTGTTGGGCGTTACAGCAAAAGATTAGATAGGTGACCAGTAAACATTTTGCAAGGGTTGAGTGATTTTTATTTTTTCTGGCATGATGTGTTAAATATAGACCAAGCATGAAAGTGACCTGATTTTCTTTGCAATATTTAAGAAAACAACTCTGTCATATCCTTGGACTTTAAATATTCATTAGTTTTTCCAGACTGAAATACCTGAATTCTAGAAGCTTTCTAGTGTGTGATGTGTGTGTGTGTGTGTGTGTGTTTGTATGTGTCTGTGTGTGTTTGAACAGATGTCAGACTGTGGCTTCCAGTATGGAGAAATCTGGCCATGCATGTCTAGAGTCCCTGGCAACATCTATAGTTTTGCAATGTATCTGTGTTTGTAGTTATGGAAATTTGTAATTTGCTTGTGCCCAGAATTAGCTCTTAGGAATTATTTAGACTAACATTAGCAATACATTTGGGCACTTAAATTTAGTGCTAACCCTAGAGTTCCCATGCTCTCAAGAGTCACTCTGTGGTCCCCAGGATTGGAATACCATGGCTTAGCTCTTTGCTGGTCCCACTGTCATCCTAGAGGAGAAATCTTTCGTGTCAGACCATGAACCAGTTTGAGGAACTGATGAAGCTATGAACCCTGCCTTCAGGTAAATTTGTGTACTCTAACTCACACTAAATTTGCCACAGAATTTCAAGGTTTTGGAGATCCTTGAGCTACCTTTACAAACTCCTCTCAAAGAATAAGTTGCAATCAGTTGGCTTTATTGTGCAAGAATCAAAATATTGAATGTGGCATAAATGTAAAATACAAGGAGAGAAGAGCAGAATCTGTGAACATCACATTTTCTGTTGACTGAAGGCAGACAGATGGCTGAAGGAGAGTGTGAAGTAGTCATTTGGTTTCAGCAAGTCCTATGAAAACAATGAGATTTTAGAAGTTTATTCATAGTATGTTAAAGTTCTCAGGATACATATTTATTTAGCATCCATAATTTTTCTTTTATGTCTGTATCCAAGAAGTTAATCAGATTAAATATTTAAAATTGGCATATAGTAAACTGAAAATAATAGACATTATGTAATATTTACGAAAAAACTGTCTTTTACACGCTTCTTTATATTTTGAATCAGTAAAATATGTAACTACATATTAAATAACTTAACTTTCATATTGTCTTTATTAATTTTCTTATTTTGTTCTCCAAAATATAATAAGCCAACTGTTTTACCAGCTCTTATTCTCTTTTTCTTAGCAGATCCTGTTGAATAGCAACTAAATAGCACAATTTACACATATGCTAGTCTAAGGAAATCACGGTGTATTTTCCCTGTTTTTTTTTTTTTTTTTTGGCAAGTTAGACAAACCACATAAAAATAGATGACATAGTAATTAAGCCCCACTATCTGAAATTAAACAAGTTGGGTTTGCCTCTCATTTTGCACTTTCTAGCTGTAATAATTGACTTAACATCCTCAGTCTTAACTGGTTTTTAATTCCTAAATTTGAGATAGGAATAATATCATATGGTTACTATGGGAATCAATAGACATAATTATGTACGGTTGTTATTTAGTGAAGACGTAGGATATTGGTTAAAAATAAATGTTAATATTTATTAATTTTACTTTATCTTTTCTAATATATGACATTTTACAGATTGATCAGTTTTAAAAAAATTCTTTCACATATGCATTCTCACTTGAGCCTCATAGCGACCAGAATTATGAGAAAATAAAAGTTCAGAGAAAGTAATGACCAGCCTATAGTCTTTAAGCAAGAAGATGAAAGAAGCAAACTTCTCTGGGCTAATGGTAGTTCCATCATATCACAGACCATTGTCTGGTATTTTAGGTCATACAACATGTAGACATCTTATGGATTGAAAACATTTGTTGCAAAGGCACTCAAAATTTTATAACTTTCTCCTGAAACTGTTTTACACTCTTTGGATATTTTCTGCTTTATTAATCTTTATCTTCATTTAAATTCTTCTCAGAAGTTTCAGATTATTTTAGACTCTGCCATTATCCATTGGCCTAAGTAATAAATAGTAACATTTTGCACCACATTCAGTGTTCTGAAAGCATCCTTTTAACATTTATGTGTTTTTTCAAGTTAAGCATTATAATTCTTCCATGGGTTTATCTTAAATAGGAGAAATTTGAGAGGCTTAACTTCAGGAATTATTTCAGAAATGATGTCTGAAATAAAGGAATGCATAGAAAATATATCATTTCCTTTCACTCTGTTAATACTACAATGAGAGTGCAAGAGAATTGTTACAGAATTAAAATTTACTTAAACTCATACTATATAACTTTTTCTAAAAATTATTTTTGAAATAAAAATCATGAAAGTGTTACTGTTTTGCTCTACTGTCATAGTTTGTGTGTGAATAAGGATGAAATAGACCTATTACATTCTAGGAGTGTACCAATTGTGAGGAAAAGTTTGTTAATAAAGTTGCCATTATCTTCATTTGGTCAAATAAAATTACTTTAAATTTCTAGTTGGAACAGAATCTGGCATATCAATGCTATGGTTTTACCAAGGTAAAATTGTAAGTATCTTGTCTTGCCTGGTTCTGTAACATACTCAGTTTATCCATTTTTACTATTTTAGAATTTATGGTTGTATTGATCAATCCACGCTTCTTGTCAGAATTATTCATTTTATCTATTGTTCATTTACCTGTGTTGTCTTCTTTGATCTTTCCTTAGTGTTTTTATGCCGTAGGTGTAGTAACTGAGGCTGTGGTTGTCTCAGGGGTGCTTGTGATGATGGACTCTGAGGAAGCTTTTGGAGTGACTATCCTCTTCACCATTGTTACAGTGGTAGAAGTTGGTGTAGGCTCAACAGTAGTGATGGTATTGATGGTAGGGATGATTATTTTATCCTGAATCTTCTTTGGGGGGATGGCAATAAATGATGGATGTAGTTTTGGGCGACGTACTGCGGTGGGTGTGTGGATATTTGGCAGGTATTGCCACTGAGGAACTTGGGCATGTGGCCTAACTGGGCTTGGATAATATGGGCGAGACACATATGGAGTATTAATTGCTATAGCTTGTCTATTTTGGTACCAATTGGTTCTATAATATGGATAGCTATTCAGCACATAATATATTGGGATATATGGAACTATTTTCTGATATAATTGTCTTTCATCATTCTCATGGCACTGCAAAAAGAATAGATTATGCAGAATATTGTTATTATAGACACAAATGTGGAAATATCTTAAATCCACATTATTTGAAATAATATAGTATTTGCCATTGAGTAGGATATTAGAAGTAGGGAACCCAGCAACAATATTATTTTATAAGATGTTGATTTGTACATTGCCTTTGCACTTTATGATTTTCAATATTATAAAATATTATTTTGATGATATAAATATAATATTTGTTTCAAAGAAATTAGATGAGTTAATTCCTAATGTAAACCATATTGCCCAGAGCTGGGCATATATGGAAAGTGATCCTATATGTTGGATATTATAGGTACAACACAGAGAAAAATCTCATCAAGAACTTTGACATGTTATGCACAAGCACCACATGCAGCCACACGCAAAATGGCACACACACATATGTATTCTTACCACATATTTGTAATCGATCACACATTTTATTCATTTAAAAATTAGCCCAAGAACACATTTGTTTTTTCCTAAACTAATTATAGCAGAATGGTAGTATAACGTGATGTAGAGAGATTCCTGGATTTAGATTTTAGATTTTTTTTGGTTTAATTTTCTTTACAAGAGATTAGATAAAGAATTTTCCATATCTATGTATCTGTCTCTGTTTAAAAATTTGTCAGTAGACCTTTCCATATGATTAGAAATAAATCAACAAAATTATACTATAAAGCAAAGATTTCTCCTAAAAGGAGACATATTTAAATGTATTCAAATATATTTGGGAAACAAAAGGGGAAGTAAATATGGAGGTATGAGAAGTATTCAAAGAGGGGTCAGAGAAGGATTCTTTCTTGTCTTAAAAGTGGAAAGGGGAAATATTAAGCTTTAATTTATGTTTTCATTTTCTCCCAATATGAAATGCTGAAATAATTATTTTATATTGCTAAATATACATGAAAACTAAAGATACATGGCTTGGGTTACATAAGAAAACAAAACTTTCCGATAAACATCAATGTTGATTCATATCACCTGTTGCTGAAATCATTTTTTTGCAAATATTATTAGGTTATTTTATGGAGATGAAATACTTAGGTTTTAGACAGAGGCATATTTAATAAGATTGACCTTTGCAGAATATATTGTAGTTCATGCCTCTAATAGAAATAATTAAAATAGACTTACTGCTTGTTGTTCCTGGTTTTGAATCTCTGCAGCCTCGGGAGTTCCAGAAGAAGAAATAACGAAAAAACAAAACAAAACAAAACAAAAAAGAAAATATATTTTATCTTTTTGTGTTAGAGACAAAATGTAGTTTCTTTTTATTTTTTAAAACATTTTTCATAATTGATCTATGAGGCCTATGGACCACTCATGAAGCAACAGTAATCTAACTGATTAGTAATAAAAAACGTCATGTTTAGATTGTCTTTAAATATCATCACCTAGAATGAAAAAGTCATCATTGGAAAAATCTAGTCATCTGACCCCCTTGTCAACAAATACACAATTCGCTTAAATGAAAAATATGAACAGTTTCTATTCAGTTTTTATTAAATATACATTGTTAAAAATTAGAGGAGCATTGAGCCTTTTTTTCTTTCTCTGCTCTCATACTAAGATGATTCATAAGGTTTACTTAGAATATTTAAAATATTGCCTCTTGCATAACCTCAACATATAAATAATAGTGTTTTTAAAACCATCTGTCTTTTGTTTTTTATAGTGCTTTTCTTAGTTTTGGATTGTAACATATTTAGAGAATCAGGAATGAGAAAACAATTTTTATGGGCATGTATTTATAAAACTTGAAAGGAGGTATCATATTAAATATTTTTAAATTGACAGTTCTGGTTTAGGATATTTCACATATATTCCTTGGGTATAAAATGACTCTAGAAACCTTTTGGAAAGTGTAAGTACAGAAAATCACAAATTTGAGAAGGCAATAAAGTTTTTTTGCTTTGAGGCAAAGTCTTGCTTTTCTCTAAATATATTAAACCATAGTTTAAAATATAAAGAAGTAATATGAGGCTGGGTGCAGTGGCTCACCCTGTAATCCCAGCACTTTGAGAGGTAGAGGTGGGCAGATCATCTGAGGTCAGGGGTTCCAGACCAGCCTGGTCAACTTGGTGAAACCCTGCCTCTATTAAAAATACAAAAATTAGCTGGGCATGGTGGTGCATGTCTGTAATCCCAGCTACTCAGGAGACTGAAGCAGGAGGATTGCTTGAACCTGGGAGGCGGAGGTTGCAGTGACCAGAGATGCCATCACTGCACTCCAACCTGGGTGACAGAGCAAGACTCTGTCCCCTCCCCCTAAAAAAGAAGTAATATGAATATTACAGAATGTTTACTTCAAAAATTCTGACAATCTAGATATATTAATGTAATATCAACCTATGTTAGGTATTCCTGGTATATGCTTGTCTAAAAAGTATCCTGCATATTTATAAAAGTGTGATATTTCATATTATTTTTTCATTTCTATCATAGGTTTCATACTTAGATTTTTATAGTTGATAACTAAATAATCAATGATTATGTTATGAAATGTTTATTTCTTATTTAAGATAAAATTTTAATTATAGAGAGTTGAATGACATCTGTGTACAAATAGCCTTTTTAAATAATTTTCATTGCTTCCATAAAATGATTTTTCACAAATGAGATTTTTTTCAGGGATTCTTGAATAGAAATCATCAAATTCTGGTACAGAATATTGTGTATTCTGTACCACAATTTGATGTACCATAATATTGTGGCCAAATTGTGCCACCAATAGGCCTCATGTTTATGCAGTTCAGTGCATAATTGCTAGAAAAAATTTTATCTATTTTTACTCTGGGAGAAGGGATAAAACATGGTATCACATTGATGTTTTAATTTGTATAATTTTGACTACTCATAAGATAGAATAATAAAATCAATAAACTTTATTATTATTATTTTTTGTATTATTTGTTCCTGTCTCTGAGGCCTGCAGCCTTTGGGAAAATAGGAAGGAATGTTTGAGGGACAAATCTGGCTCAGGTAGCTCAGGAAAGAGGTTGCTTACAGCAGGGAGTTGTAGATCATTTTATGATTTAAACTTCAAGCCCTGTTGTTCAAAGAGAAACCTAAATTTTAAATGTTAAGGTGGCCACAAAGTATTTGAGTTACAGAATTCAAAGATTGTTTTTTTGTTGTTGTTGTTTTTTGAGACAGTTTCACTCTGTCACCAGGATGGAGTGCAGTGGCATGATCTTGGCTCACTGCAACCTCTGCCTCCTGGGTTCAAGTGATTCTCCTGCCTCAGGCTCCTGAGTAGCTGTGACTACAGGCGCACACTACCACACCCAGCTAATTTTTTTGTGTTTTTAGTAGAGACGGGGTTTCACCATGTTGGCCAGGATGGTCTTGATCTCTTGACCTTGTGGTCTGCTTGCCTCGGCCTCCCAAAGTGCTGGGATTACAGGCGTGAGCCATGGTGCCCGGCCAGACCTCAAAGTTTTAAAAGGTAATTTTGATTCCAAGAATTGAATTTATAGACATGTTATACACAAACACAACATGCAGATAGTAGAATTAATGAATAGATGTTAACTTAAAAGCAAGTCTAAACTTATAATAAATAAATATTATAGATATTCACAGAACAAGGACTGGTGTGCTCCAATATTTTGTAATCTAGGAGAAGGACATATACTATTATTTATGCTTGCTCCTTTGTCAGTACCTAGAATCCCCAGATGAACATGAAAATACAAAGAGGCAATAGCTGTAATAACAATAAAAACAAGTCAAAAAATTAAAAAGAAAAGAAGCAGAACCTTTCTAGGTCCAGTAGCCTTAAAACTTTATATATAATTCAAGATAATGCCAGGGATCCCTGAAAAGGGGTCAGTCAAATGACATATTGAGGAAGAGTATAACAAAATATATTATTTGAATATTAAAGATAGAAGTATCAAGGTCTTTGAAACTTATGAAAAAGCTTTACCAAATTTGATCTTTGAAAAATTTTGTTTCCTAAAGACACTGGAGTCTGGGTGAGATAGGAACTTAATCAAAATAATTTTTCATCCCAGACTATGATATCTATATTTATTCTTTCTGGATTATCTTTAATGCATTTACAGTTTTAAAATGTTTCCAGTATTGTTTTTCCCCCAGAAAGTATTTTCTCTATAGTATGAGAATTTTAAAAGTTTCCTATACACGATTTAGTGTGATTTCTTAATTCACAGAACAAAATGGATATCCAAAAGAACATGATTCGGATTTCATAATAGAAATAAATGTTAAAAAATTAACCTTAAAAATGTAACAAATATGTAGATATTTTATTCTGTGAAGTATAACTGTATTTAGAAATTTGTATAGTTAGAGCCCTTAAATAAAATTTTCTTAAAATCAATAAAACTGGTTAGATGAAACTAACTTACCAAAAAAGGCATGGATAGTGCCAGGACATTCACAACTAGAAGAAAACTCTTCATTATTGCACCTAAAGATCAATTTTTAAAAAGTTAATTTAAAAGAATTTGTTACTAGAAACTTAGGAGTGACTTGAATGCCATATTTGCTTTGATTAAGAAAAAAAGCCAGATTTACAGATAGATTTAGCTGAAGTGGAAAATTTATTTTAACAAACAATGTAAAAACCCAGACTTGGAGCAGGGACATGGATGAAGCTGAAAACCATCATTCTTAGCAAACTAACACAAGAACAGAAAACCAAACACCGCATGTTCTCACTCATAAGTGAGTGTTGAACAATGAGAACACATGGACACAGGGAGGGGAACATCACACACAGGGCTCTGTTAGGGGGTGGGGAGGTGAGGTGGGGGATAGCAGGGGATGAGGGAACTGGGAGGGATAACATTAGGAGAAATATCTAATGTAAATGATGGGGGATGGATGCAGCAAACCATCAAGGCACATGTATACCCATGTAACAAACCTGCACATTCTGCACATGTACCCCAAAACTAAAGTATAATAAAAAATAAATAAATTTTTTTTGAATTTAATTTTTGACAATATTAATGAAATTATCAAATTATTACTATTTCAAATGTTGAGATTATCAAGGTGATATCAAGGTGATACAGGCCTTGACAATAAGTAGCATCAATTTTAGAAGAGTGTTGAAACATATACAAATAACTGTAAGAGGAACAATAGCGGAAAATGCCACAAAAGTAGTTTTCTACTAATAGAAAGTTTCAGTTAAGAGAAGCAGCAGTCTTTGCATGCAAAAATGACATATAAGTGATGCTTGCCTATGCAGGGTTTAATAGGGAGGGAAATATTTCAAGTAGAGGAGAAAGCCTTGAGAACAGCCATGAACATTTTGATTGGACTCTTGTATGAGAAGAAAAATGTAAGATTAGAAGGAAAGTTTAGAGCAGAAAAAGTAGACATCTTTAAGTTAATGACTGGTTGAAAAGCTAGGCATGGCTTTATAAACAACAGAAAACAACAGTGTTTTCAGACTAGAAAGTGACATGACTATATATTTTTTGGAAGGCTGAGTTCTAGACCAGGCCTTATCTCTACCTGTGTAACTTCGATTAAGTGATTTCCCTTTCCTGGGCTTTACATTTTCTTACCTGTAAAAAATGTAAGAAACTTAGAGATTTCTAAAGTTACCTAATTCTATGATCAATACAATAGAAGTATGTAGGATGGAATGGAAAGCGGAAGGTTATGAAACTGTTCTCTTTATATTTCTCCAGAAATCAGAACTGATATAATTAACTTTATTGTTTTAATAAGAAGTATAGCGATGACAATTACGGTGGCTTCAACTAAAATATTTAAAGACATAAATTAGCCTTATTTTTCTAAGAGTATATACAGTGTCATATCTGCTTATTTGATTTTTAATGAAGCATCTTTTTAGACAATAATAATATATGATACCCCAAACTTTTTACATTTAAGTATATATTACATTTAGGAGGTAATTAATAACTTTATCTTGTTGCAGCTATGATTATTCACATACTCATATAAACTTGAATCACTAAACTTGAGCTTTACAAAAGAGATTTACAGAATTAAATCCTCAGGTAGAGGATGGAAAGTACATCAGACTCCTTAGCATCTGATTCTCAGGCAACAATAATTATTAAGAAGGCTGTCTACTACAGTGACTTCAAAACTGCCTGTATGATGTCATTGAATTTCCATTAGATGGAACTCATTTGGATTCCATTTGAACAATCTAAACAAAGTCATATTTCTCTGAGTGGGATGGAGTTTCTTATTAATGCTTCTCTTGCTAGTGATCTTTTAGGATTATAGACTGAAAATGTTGGTATGATGAGTCACAGACCCCTTATCACTTCACACAGTGAAATGATATGTAAACAAAAGAAAATATCCTATAAAATTACCGTAATTTCTTTTTGGCAAAAACAAAAATCATAGATATAAGACCATACTTTATATCAGGTACTTACATCAATAAGTCCTTGCATTTACTCTCATTACTTGGTAAAAAGAAATAATTTATGAAATGGTAGAACTGTCCAGCTTTCATGAATAGTTGAAAGACATGTTTTTAAAAAATAATTATTCCATAAAAATAAAATAATGACTTTTATAGAAATAAAATTTAAAAGTAATTAAGGGGTCAATTGCGATTATCATGAGTCCAATTTCCTGAGGAGTTAACTCTCAACATTTGTCTGTAGGAATGCATTAAATGCCTTCTTATTTAGAATTCACAATGTCTACTATGATTTAGCTGGTATCAGAAATTGACTGGAACCCAAAGTAAAGTTAAAAATAAATTTGATCATAGCACTATCTAGAACTTAGATTTAGGGTAAAAATTAAAAAATTTAAAGTGATCCTAGGTCATATTCAAGCTTAACAATAAAGATTAAAAAGAAGAAAATGTGATTCTGAAATAACTGTGGTGATGTCCCCACTAACTACTGTGAAAAGGATCACTTTCTCCGGGTGTTTCAGCAGCATTACCTTTCCTCGTGCCAGTCAGATCTTGCTTGGCAGTAGGTTGAGTTGGCCTGTCAGCTGTTGAGAAGACCAAGATAAACAACTGAAGACCGATTAAAGGGTATTAGTTCCTTGAGTCACATTATTCTGTTTCCCTCCCACTTTTTACCCAATAGGATGATGACAGAAAGGAAAGATTTGATGACAGCAGGGTCACCTTTGGGTCAATCTTAGTTAATGAAATGCAGAGAAGGATGTGGAGTCGTCACTCATAAAGCTTGCGAAAAGATTATTCATATCTTTTTAAAGAATGAATCTTTTTGTGTCTTATAAAGATATGTAGAATAATTTAAAAAATATTAATAGCATTGTTAATCAACTAATCCCATCTATTTGAACTGAAAACTGCTGTTGAAATGAAAAATAGCTAGCTACAATACTTTCACATTTTAATTGTTTTTTTTTAGTTTAAGAACCTAGATTTTGAGTGATACTACATCTGGTATGGACTGTGATTAGTCTTCTTCCTTACAGAATTATAATTATTGATTTTTAAAAATAAGAAAATTGGTCATTTCACACATAATCAAGAGCACCTCCTTATAAGTTAAACCCCTGTGTGAAACATTTTAATCAATATAAAGTGGGGAAACATTTGCATTGAGCGGCAAAGTATTTTCTCCCATATGCATTGACTGAATACTTTGATTTATTATCGTCTTATGAATAAGCTTTTTAAAAGATTTTTAAATTTCAACAATATAGGTGAACCATTTTGAATAAACAATATTAAATTATTGAATTGGAGATAATTGTTCTGTTTTAAGGAAAGTCATTTTGACTTAGAGCATAAATCACAAACCCATTGACATTGTGAATATTTTGGCAAAAATAGCTCAACACAAATTTTGCTTAGATAATTCAGGAAAGAATAGTTTCTCTTACTTGCCTTTCTCAAGAAATAATGTTAACTGTGACTTCATTTTGGTTGTGAAAGCCTGACCGGATTGAGGAATTTACAGAAATCAATATAGAATGACCAGAACACAAACAAGAAATAATATCAGCATTGTAGTAATGTCTATACTCCTGTCTGTTTCTTAGAACTATTGCATGTCTTAGAAGGTCAGGAACAATATTCTAAACCCTAGAATACTTATTTGGATTGGACAGAGTAAAATGAGATTCTCTGTTTCTCAGAATAGTTGGTTTCTGCGGTTCAAAAAGAGATGACAGAATTTAAAATTCCTGAGGTAATAATACCAGCCATTCTATCTGAACTATTTAGTCACAGTGTTTTCCTTTGATTATCAGGGTCCGTGGTTGAAAGATTATGATCTGGTCATTCCCCAAATTCTGAAGGTGTTCTATTTCATATAGTAATTTCTCAGCCATTGATTTAGAATCATGAGTGATAATGATTTTCAGCTGAGTTTTGAATTACTTAATTTACAACACTGTTTTCACAGGAAAATATATTTTAAGAACATGTGACAGTGCTGTAATATTTTCTCCCACCAAGATAAAAACATGTTTACCATGGGATCACCCATTCACTTCAAACAGTAATGTAACTTTTGTGGGGCTTTGCAAAATTAGACATTATTCTTTGAGCACATACATTGTTTCAGGTACTGGACATTATTCTTTGAGCACATACCTTATTTTAGGTAGTGTTTCAGGTAGTAGAGATAAATTAGTAACCAAAGCAGACAAACATCTCTGCTCTTGTGGAGCTCATAGTCTAAAATTTACTTGATTACTGTTAACATTCGATATTTCTCATATCTATTGATCTAAGGCAATCTTAATGAAAGTGTTTTGAGTGCCTGGAATAGATAAACTAGGTGAATTCTATAATGGAGCTATCCAATGCTCTTGTGTTTTCCAAAGAAAAGCAAAAGGAAGATCAGAACTCACATGCTCTGAAATCTCCAAGGAAGCTGCAATGGTGCTGAACAAGGCCTCCAAACTGAGAGTGCTTATAATCTGGGATGAATCCACCATACTTTATCTAGTTATACATCCATCAATAGTGAGCATGGCCTGATTCTAGAACATCCCTAGATTATGGGATGAGAACCAGCAGGGCTTCTCAGTCCAGCTGCAAGTTCCCTTTGTTTAGGTCCTGATAATCAGTGTATTCACACCACCATTCATAGACTGGAACTGTGTAAGAGGCTATTGTGGTTACATAAGTTCACATTTTAAGCATTGTAAACAAAAATATTTTGTAATAAGTGACATAATGATTATTGACTCATATACACTCTTTTAATAGTGACAACCTCTTGTTATTCTGTTAATGTTTCTTACATTTGAAATGTACTTCATCTCTATTTTCTCTTCCTTTGATGGCATTTACATGCATGTAGTTTTATTTTTTTCTGTCTCATTTTATTTCTCAGTCACTTCATTTGTACCAGGCTGTTCTCAACACTAGTTTTTTCTTGAAGTACAATAATGTTTGTGACAGCAGTTGCAATGTAAATGACTAACACAGCTTTCCATAGGACTATCATGGTATCAGAAAATTGATATTTTAAAGTAGAAATTTGTATGCTTTAAAAGTCTTTGCTGTATGTGAAAACCATGGAAAAAAATACCATAAAATGCTCTTAAAAATAGTCAACAAACTATAGCAAACTGGAATATCAAAATTTTACTCTCTTATAACCAATTCTATTAAGCAATAGACATACAAACTGTTTGTATTAGAAACAAAGCTCTTTTGGTCGTACAGTAGACAGCCACAACCCCTGTTTTTAGAGATTATTTAAGAAGATAGCGCTTTCTCCTGAACACTTATAAAAAGACAATTTTGAGATTGTGAGGAGACATTTAATGTCATCTGGAGCCTACAGTGACTGTCATTGTGACTTTAGCACTAGTACACACATAAATTTATTCCTCGGTAAGTTTTAGGTTACAAGGATTTCTGAAGCCATTAAAAATACACAGATTTAAAAATACAAGGGATAATAAATTTATGTGAAGTGTTATTTCTCCAACATGATCCCAAGACCCCCTATAATCCTGTCCTATGTTTATTTCATTCTTGTCATTCTTGTTACCATTCAAAATAAACAGCCAGGTCAACGATGATCTCTGTGTAGCCAAATCCAATGGTAGCTGCTAGATACTCTTCCCACTCAACATTTTAGCAACTCTTGGCATGGTTACTAGTTTTTCTGACTGGTAAAACTTTTTGACTTTTTCTTCTTTTTTTTCTTCCCTTGAGTCACTTATGGCTGCTCTTAATTTCCATTTTGGTTCTTCTTATTTTCCTCAAACTCTAAATTTAGGAGAACATTTAAAAATTCTTCCAGCACCCACCACCCCTCTATCTTTTCTCCCTCTGTCTTTAATATCTTTCTAGTTGATGTACTAAATTCCTATAACCTTAAGTATCATCAATAGGCAATTGCCTTCACTGAACTCTAGATTCAAGTATCCAACAGCTATTTTAACATCTCTATTGGCATGTAAAATAGACATCTCCAAATGATCATGAAAAAAAGAATATTTTATATCCAAACATACCCTGTTTCTCAACTAGTTCTCCACTAGTCTCTTTTATCCTTTAGTAAACAGTAGCATGCTACTACTAGTGGCTCAAGGGCCATCTAGTGACTCCTATAGGTTATCTTTTCTCTCCTCCACACGACCACTTGTTAGAAGAATCATTAATTCTATCTTAACAAATACCCCAAATCTGCCACCACTTCCTAATGTGAACTTTTTTGCTTTAGTCTCAGCCACTGGCATGTTATACCTGGAATCGTTCTAATATTTCCCGTTTTGATCTCTTTACTTTCACTCTTATCACCCTATAATCATTTTTTACATAGTTATAAAAATGTCACTTTTAACATATATCTGACATGATTATTCTTCTGCTTAAATTCTCAATGGATTCCTATGCACTTAGAATACATTCAAAATTTTACCAGGGACTGTTTCTAAATAATTTGGTTTCTCTTTATTCATCTTACCTTAACTTCTACCACTTTTTCTCTCACTGTATGCTGGTTTCAATGACCTTTCTGTTCCTAGAATGTGCCATATTCTTTCCTATATCAGGAACGTCCACTTATATTCATGCTGCCTGGAATGTTCTTACCTCAATTCTCAGTAATGTCCCCTGTATTACTCGGTATTCACCTCAAATGTCTTCATTTCAGAGAAGATTTCCTTGTCACTTTGTCTAAATAGTCACTTCTTCATCACTTTATTATTTAACCTTTTATTTTCCTCGTGATATATTACAATATAATTTTTTAAAAACTTATATGTGTTTATTTACTATTTTCTGTCTTTTTCCACTAGAAAATAATGGTCCCAGTCTCTAAACCTATGCCTAGCACATATTAGAGAAAAATTTGTTGAGCAAATGATTATCTGTGCTACTTGTTTAAGTTGCAAATTCCTGCCTAACCCGACAATACAGAGTCAACATTGTCAAAGCAGGAATGTTCCTAGAAATGTGAATAACAGATAAGAAACTAAATAATATTTTTATGCAGTTTTGGAATTACTACTTTCCTCTAGATGAGACCAGAACCCAGTCAAGAAGAACTTCTAAAGTGTGCAGGCATATTATCTGTTTCCCCTTGAATTCTAACTTACTTCATGGAAGAGCTAGAATATATGGATGAGGGATAGATTTTTGGGGCTCTGTTTTCCAGTATTAGAACTGACCTTCCCCTGAATGTTGGGGAGGCTGGTCTCTAGCTGGGCTCTCATTTAGAGTGACCGCAACTAGAATTCAGTGTGTCCCTCTGCTCTTATTTGATTCCCATGCTAAAGTCTTGGATCCTCGAGGGGAAACTAGAAGCTTTCTTAAGTGACTGTGGGGAGGATCTAATAGGTGATCCATGCCTTGCTATTCACCTTGCTCTATTGTTGTTAGTTGCCTTCAGCTCTCTTGGTTTGATGCCCACAGCTTTGGCCAGAGTTTCAACTCTGCCTGAGCATTATTCAATTGACATAGAACTCTAAATAAATACTGTCTCCTAGATATATTAGCTGTTTTAATAAGGATATAACTCATCAGGTTATATTCACTCTGTGTCTGTATGAAAAGTTGATAGAAATGTTATTTAGTGAACAAGAATATTAAGATATTGATTTTATCATTTGCTTCTCAGAGCTTGTTCCTAAGATTAATAGAATTTTATATATTTGTTAGAAATATGTTCTGAAGTATTTTACTCTCATCTTTTGCTCTTTTATCTTTGTCCAGTGAAAATAAACGTCATTCAGAATACCAATTTTAAATAAAATTAAGAACCAAAAATGCAACAAACAAAATACCAATTTGAGTATAGAGCTTATCTAGTAAATATCTATTGGGCATCTAATTTGTGCCTGTTTTTCTGTCAATAATCTATTTATCCATTAATGTTCAATTCAAAGTCACCTGTGGGACCTTTCTTAATTTGTGTAGGCAGCTGGTTTCTCCGCTGCTTTGAAACAAAAAGCTCTGTAATTTTTTGGAGCATTTATTACATTTCCTGAAATTTTGTATGTGTTTATCTCCCCTATCTAACCTGTAAGATTATTAAAGAGAATCTTTTTTCCAAATCTCCAGTATTTAGCACAACAGTTGACAAAAAAGTATAGTCATGTGCTATATAACAATGTCTTGGTCAATGCCTGACTGTCTAGGACAGTGATTTCATAAGATTATAATGGAGCTGAAAATTGCTAGGAATATCTTGATGATCTTGGCCCCTTGTAGGCCTAGGCTAATATATATGTTTGTGTCTTGGTTTTAAACAAAAAAGTTTAAAAGTAAAAAAAGTATATATATTTAACAGTAGAGAAAAACTTATAGAATAAGACTATAAAAAAGATAAATTTGCATCTTTTTTGTATATTTTCTAAAGATAATTTTGTATCTTTATTATTGAAGAAAGAAAAATATATTTTCATAAATTTAGTGTAGCCTAAGTGTACATAATTTATAAGGTTTACAGTAGTGTACAGTAATGTCCTGGGCCTTCACATTTAATCACCACTCACTGACCCACTCAGAGCAACTTCCAGGCCTCCAGGCTCCATTCATGGTAACTACCCTATACAGTTGTACCATTTTAAAAATCTTTTATACCACATTTTTACTGTAATTTTCTATGTGTAAATACACAAATACTTCCTGTTGCTTTATAATTGCCTATAGTATTCAAGAATGATGTCCAAATTCACTGGATGAAGGAGATAGCTGATTAATTTTAATAGAAACGAATCTAGTAGTTAAAAGTAAAGGACAGGAGTTTTTTTTTTCTTCAGAAAATTATAATGACATCAAATGAAGGAGATAAAAGATCTAATCTGAGAGTTAAGGAGAGATGTCAAAGACTCTTAATGAAACAAAAAAGTAGGGTAGATTAGATTAGTTATTAAATTAGTGGCACCGTAGATTACTTGCACAGCTGGCTCTTCCAAATTTCAGAGCAGCTATTTGTCTTTGGCCCTTCTTCAGGGCTCTGATTGCCTTTGCTCTCTCTGCCCCTCTCTCTTATTTTCCCATGACTGCATCTGCCCGGTCATGCAGTAGCCTCCAGTCTGTCAGCTGTAAGGTTAGGAAACAATGCCTATAGAATTAATTTACCAAATTATATTGATAACTGTTTGGTTTTCTTGCTGTCTTTCCCATGTTTTACTTGGGATCACTGACTTTAATACCAATAAATATTTAATCGTTTGAGGTACTCTTAATCCCTAAAAGTGATCAAGGGAGACAGCAATTTCCCTGCTCAAGTGCCAAGTAGCTTATTAGGCTGATACTGATTTGTAGCCAGCTATGGATGAATGGTGGCAGAATTTCCATTATTGGTGCTAAGGGTCTTAGCTATGAACAATTTAAACTTGCGGTGGAGAAACATAATCTTTATTCAAAGAGAATTTTTCTAATTTCCTGATAACCAACTTGTGGAGACAAAGGCAGTCACTGTGACCCACTAAAAGGCTTATTGTGCAAGTAGAATCTTGTTGGATGACTTTTGTCATATGCTGTAGGACAGTTTACTTTTATAACCACCTGCTACCTCTTCCTTCTCCAGGGGATTGCTGAAGAGTGAAAATAAATTGTTTATTATGGAATTTGTAGAAATTAAGAAACCAAGATTTTTGCTTTCATGTTTATTAAACAAGACCACTAAAGATATTGACTAGAGAATGCTGTGTGCTATTTCAATTACATTTGTTTTTCTTTTGTTAATAGGAATTTTGATTCTTCAAGGAAGTGGCTCACATTTAATTTTAGGTGACCTGAAATAAATAACAAACATATGGTTATGAATTGCATTGGGTCATTTTCTCAAAAACATGTACATTTTCTGCATTTTAATGGCAAATATTGGCTTAAAAATATATTTAGTTCAAGGACTGGGAAACCATCTGCTCAAGAACATTGAGTACCTGTAGACGTGAAAAGAAAGCAAAGGTCTTTAGTGATAAGTATTAGCTGAAGGATTTTTTTCCCTTGAACAGTCCTCTGGGATCCAATTTAATCTTCAGTATAGACTCTCTCTCCTCAATTTATCTATTACTTGACACACCATCCACTTTGTTTTTGGTATGATGCAATGATAGGGGTCACTGTTATAGGTGAAGCATGAAGCCTTTAAAATTTTACTATAATGTGATGCTTGAGAGCTAAATTTGGAGTTTTAGTATCAGGAAAATTACATGGTTCTCTAAGGACTAAACTGAAATCTATTTTAAACTCTAGGCCAACTTCATCTACTATGATCTCAACCTTGGTTACTCTGAGTCAGTCTAGAATGCAGTTATTGACAATAGCATAAAGTGTTACAAATACTTTGTAAACAATATTTTAATAACATAGGGATTGTTTCTATTACATCAAACAAAGGAGGGATTTAAAGCAATATGCTGGTTAGATCACGGAAGGGCACGTGTCTATCTCTGAGTGGGCACACACGACAGTATCTACCAGAGAAAAACATTAAAACAAATTGAAACTGAAAGGAGCCAAATGGGGACATGGCTAGCATTTTTTCCCCTTGAAATTATGAATTCCAAACTGCAAACTTAAACTATGATTGTAACTATGTGTACTTACCACATATTTCATCATCAATTTTATTCTGACTTTTCCTTCTTGTTTAATTTTTCGTCAGGAAGGGGAGTTGTAAGAAGAGATTCACTTACTGGAATAGGAAGATTATATCTAAGCCATGGATATCTTTGATATCTTCGAAATGGAAATGGGAAATAGGGGTAAGGGAACACTAAAAACCCTGAAGATAATTCATCGCTGTCACTGATCTGTTGAAAGAAAGAAATTAAAGGGTTTAGTTTACTTTTTACAAAGAAGAGAAACAAAACAGTTTTGCTTTTTAAATAATGGGACTTCATTTTTAGGAAGAGGTTTTAGAAGCTATAAAATTGTTTATTCTTTCTGTGTGTGCTATGGACAGAGAGTTGATTACTTTGCATCATTTAAAAATTATTTAGAGATACTCATGTTCCTGTATCTTTCCACTTAAAGCTAAATATTTTCTGGCAATCACTTCTTTTACCTACAAGGCCAAGATGAATGTGGTGTTGAGGTGCCATAAAACGTCTCCCTTTGCCTTCATACAAGGTCTTTACCCAAACCACATGTTGGAAACAACCTCTCTCTTACAGTATCTCAGTTCTTTCTTCCTGCTTTCCCTCTCAATTATCTGTTCCAATCTCTATTACTTTTGATATTCTTGACTCTCTGTTTGTAGTTTTTGCGATAAAATCATGCTTTCCAGATAATAAGATTTTCATAAATAAAAACAAATCTTTAAACAAGATTTAAAGTTTTGCAAACAAATCTTGTTTAAAGATTTGTTTTTATTTATGAAAATCTTATTAATCTTTCCCTCTGCAAATTTTATTTTCTTTTTGTTAAATAATTTTAGATAATTGTTTAGACCCAAATAATCCATGAGCGAATTTGCCACTGGGAGGATCTTCAAAGCTGGCCTACATCTCTTAATGCTTGGGTTTCATTTTTTACTTTCTTTGAAATGAATTTTGTAAAGCTAAGGCAAAGTGGAGGCCTGCACAGTTATGAGCATTTATTAGTCTAGATAAATCTAGTAAAAAATATTGTAACCCAAATAATCACAGAGCAATTAAGATTTCAATCCAATTCTTACCATGATATGAGATGTGGAGATAATTCCCTTTCTATGAGCACAGCTCAAATCCCTGAAGTCTAAACCTCAGTTGAGTGCTAATACCAAGAGCTCTTTAGGAATGTCTCCACTGTTTGGGAGGTGTAGATAAATGAATATCTTTAACAACAGTTATGAATGTTTTACATGTAAAACTTGCATGTAAAAAAGAGAAAAAGTAACTTACACTTCTTTTTTCACGGTCCTGGTCTTCAGAGACCTAAAAGTAAATAGTGAAATTAATTAAACTCATGTTTATGAAAACACACAAGTAAATATATATATACACATGAGGAAAATAATTTGACAATGTATTATTAATATTGTTTCGTAATAACCATTTTTAAAATATCCAGACTTAGTCTAGGATATGTAGAAATAATTTTCCTGAAAAGTCTTAATATGTATTTTTAAATGGCTCAAACTCACCACTACACCAAGGATATGTGGAACTGAATTATGTACTAAACAGTGTATGACTTATAATATTTTCTGGAATATAATGATAAAAGGGCAGGTGTTAGGTATTCTTACAGAATACAGTATGTGAAGTAGAAAAAACCCTTAAATTCATGAATCAAGACAAAATATACAGTCATGCATTGCCTAATAACAGAGATAAGTTTGAGAGATGTAGTTCAGCCATTCCATCATGCAAACATCACAGAGTACACTTACACAAAACCTAGATGTTGTAGCCTACTACATACCTAGGCTATATAGTATAGTCTTTTGCTCCTAGACTACAAAACTGTATGGCATATTACTATCCTGAATACTGTAAGCAGTTGTAACACAATAGTAAGTATTTGCATATAAAAAAATCTAACATAGAAAAGGTATGGTAAAAAATACAGTATAAAAGATGGAAAATAGTACACATGTATAGGTTACTTGCCATAAATAAACCTTTTAGAACTGGAATTGCTCTGTGTGAGTTAGTAAGTGAGTGGTGAGTGAATGTGAAGGCCTAGGACATTAATGTTTACTCCTGTGGACTTTGTAAACACTGTACACTTATGCTACACTAAACTTATGAAAGCATATTTTTCTTCCTTTGATAATAAGTTAACCTTAGCCTTATTATAACTATTTTACTTTAACTCTTTTGTAATAACACTTAGCTTAAAACAAAACAATTTCACAGCTGTACAAAAATACTTTCACTATTTATATGTTTTTTACTCTTTCTTTTTTACTTTTAAACTACTTTACTTAAAACTGAGACACAAACATATACATTAGCCTAGGCCTACTCAGGGGCAGGATCATCAATATCACTGTTTTCCACTTTCACATCTTGTCCTACTGGAAGGTCTTCAGGGGCAGTAACACACATGGAACTATCATCTCTTATGACAATAATGCTTTCTTATGGAATACATCCTGAACAACCTGCCTGAGGCTGTTTTACAGTTAACTGTAAAAAAATAGTAGAAGGAATAAACTCTATAATAATGATAAAAGCATAGTACAATAAATACACAAGCCAGTAACCTAATTGTTTATTATCAGTATATTAGGCACTGTGCATATTTTTTTGTGCTCTACTCTTATATGACTGGCAGAGAGTAGGTTTGTTTATACCAGTATCACCATAAACACATGAAACACATGACTTAATTCATTGCCCTATGACATTATGATGGCTACAATGTCATTAGGTGGTTGGAGTTTTTCAGCGTCATTATAATCTTTTTTTTTTTTTTTTTTTTTTTTTTTTTTCCTTAAGAGATGGGGACTTGCTATGTTGCCCAGGCTGGTCTTGAACTTGTGGGATCAAGTGATTCTCCTGCCTTGACCTCCTAAATTACAGAGATTACAGACATAAGCCACTGCACTTGGTAGCTCTGTTATAATCTTATGGGACAACCCTTGTATATGTGGTTCCTGGTGACAGAAATATGCAGTACATGTCTGTACATAAATATTTTGGAATGTACAAATGGATACTTACTGGGAAACTAACAGCCACTGCTAAGATGGCTGTGATCAGAAGGAGAACTTTCTTCATCTGCAAAATGGAGCAATTAAATAAAATAAAAAATAAGAACTTTCATTTCATTCAGAAATATCCTAGAAGTCAGCAAAAGACCACGGATTCAAAAGATCCAGTTACAGTACAAATTTTTTAACAAATAGCTCTTTGAGTTTGAGCAATCACTTACAATCTTAGTGCATCAATCTATTTGTTAATAAAGAACTTTTTTTAAGGTCAAATCAAAGGAGCTCTGTAATTTCACAACTATATTACACCAATTGCTTTAAAAATAAACATTCACATATTAAGAATAATAATCCCTGTGTAACAAAACTATATGTGTATTCCTTAACTTAAAATAAAAAATAAAAGAATACTTCTATGTACTTGATAATGAAAGTAAAGTTTCTGGAAGAAATAATGCCTTGGTGTATACAGACAATGTTAGTCTGGAAGTAAGCAGTTATTTAGTGATCTTTGAGAATCTACATGAAAGTAATATAGGTGACAGATTTATTTGCACTGGTTTTAGGCAACCCCCCAAAAATTCATGATGCGAAGAAGGATCTTTTCTCATGCCTGCTAACATATAATCCATCCTGCAGTCCAGGGATCAAAGAGTAATTTTGACTTGCAAGTTTTATTATTTAATGAATAATATAGGACTTTTCCAAAGCATTTTATTGTATTTTAATTTTCACTGTAGATCTCTTACTATATCACACAGTGTTAAAATGTGTCAGTTACAATATTGTTAATATTATATTCGAGAAAACTGAGCGAAATTAAAGATTTATTCAAAATTATACAATAGAGTGTACAATAAATACAGAACTTTTGCATTTAAAAATATTTATTATTAATACAATAAATGTATATATTACTTGATTTCAAATAATAATGGGAAATTTTCTGTATGGGATGGCATCATTAGGCATTAATCCTCTTAGTCATGGTGTGAATGCATTATATACTAAAGAATATGTGGAAGGATCTGGGAAAGGCAATCAAGTTGAAAGTGGGCAATTTCTTGAAGTTTCCCTCATATTTATTAATTTATTAGTTTATAACATTTTTCTTGATAACTGACTGACTGTGAGACGTTATTCTAGGTGTTGTCTATACACAGATACACCTCTTTTTATTGTACTTCATATATTGTATTTTACTAATTGAGAGAAAAGTTTTGGCAATCTGGCATCCAACAAATCTATCAGCACCATTTTTCCAACAGCATGTGCTCACTTTGTGTCTCTGTGACATATTTTGGTAATCCTGGCAATATTTTACAGTTTTCAGTATTATAAGATACCTTAATATCTGTAAGATATTATTATAAAGCTATAATATAAAGCTATAATAAGATTTTATTATATCTTCTATGGTGATCTTTGGTGTTACTTTGATCTAATTATTTTGGGGTGTTATGGCAAAAATAAATGGCAAACTTATTTGATAAATGTTGTATATGTTTTGATTGCTCCACTGACTGGCCATTCCCCCAGTTCTCTTTTTCTCTCCTCAGTCTTTTTTATTTCCTGAGATACAGGAATATTAAACTTGGACCAGTTAATAACCCTACAATATCCTCTAATGTTCTAGTGTTCTAGCACTAATGTTCTAGTGCTATAGTATAATACCCCAGATAAAGTCTCCTACTTTACATTAAAAAGTAAAAATGATTTAGTGAAGAAAGAATATCAAAAGACAAGAAAAGCTGAAAGCTAGGATCTTGCAACAACTAGTTAGTCAAGTTGTGAATGCAAAGGAAAAATTTTGAAGGAAATTAAAAGTGCTACTACAATGAACACAGGAATGACAAGAAAGCAAAAGAGTCTTGTTTCCAATATGGAAAAAGTTTTAGTTGTCTGGATAGATCAAACCAGCCAGCACATTCTCTTAAGCAGGAGCCTAATATAGAGCAAGGCCTTAATGCCCTTTAATTCTATAAAGACTGAGAGATGTGAAGAAACTGCAGAAGAAAAGTTGGAAACCAGCAGAGGTTGGCTCATGATGTTTTAAACAAAGAAGCCTTCTCTATAACACAAAAGTGCAAGATGAGCAAAAAAACATTGATATAGAGGGTGCAGCGTTATCCAGAAAATCTAAGAACACTGATGAAGGTGTCTACAATAAATAATAGATTTTTAATATGGATGAAACGGTCTTATTTTGGAAAAATATGCCATCTAGAACTTTCATAGCTAAAGAGAAGAAATCAATGCCTGGCATCAAAATTTCAAAGGACAGGTTGACTCTTTTTAAGGGATATAGCTGGTTTCTTAAATTGAAACCAATGGTCATTTATCATTTCAAAAATCCTAATGCCCTTAAGAATTACACTAAATCTATTCTGCCTGTGGTCTGTGGATGGAACAACAAAGCCTGGATGGCAGTACATCTAGTACAGCATGGTTTACTGAATCTTTTCAGCTCCCTTCTTAGGAAAAAAGATTTTTTTTTTTTTTTTTCAAAATACTACTATTCATTGACAATGCACCTGAGCTCCCAAGAACGCTGAAGCAGGTGTACAAAGAGATGAATGCTGTTTTCATGCCTGCTAACATAACAGCCATTCTGTAGCTCATGGATCAAAGAGTAATTTTGACTTTCAGATTTTATTATTGAATGAATAATAAATGAATATTATTGAATGAATAATAAATCACAGATAGTGATTTCTTTGATGAGTATGGGCAAAGTAAATTAAAAACCTTCTGTAAAAGATTCACCACTCTAGATGCCATTAAGACCATTTATGACTCATAGGAGACCAAAATATCAACATTATAGGAGTTCGGTAGAAGTTGATTCCAACTTTTGTGGATGACTTTGAAGGATTCAAGGCTTCAGTAGAGGAAGTAACTTGCAGATGTGGTGGAAATAACAAGAGAACTAGAATTAGAAGTGGAGTGTGAACATGTGACTTAATTACTTCAATCTAATGGTAAAACTTAAATGAATGAAAAATTGTTTCTTATGGATGAGCAAAGAAAGTGGTTTCTTGAGATGGAATCTCCTGGTGAAGATGCTGTGAACATTTTTGAAATGACAGCATAGGATTATTTTAAATACCAGATAATCTAATAATTTTGAGAAGACAGGAATGTAAAATTCCAGTCAAGTTCAGCCTTCTACAGGCAGATCGTTAGTGTAGGAAATCAACAGCAAAAATTATACAAACACACACACATGCATACACTCACACATACTCCTCACAGACACACACATACATATACATTGTCTAGTTTCTATGTGCAAAGCATTGTTCCGGTAGTTTTCAAGAATACAATGATAAACCATGATTTCTTCCATGTGAGACTTCCATATGGAAGACAGATATAGATTATTTCTATAATGTAAAACAAAGCATGATATATACCATATGTAGAAATTGCAAAATATTGAGAGTATTTAGAAGAAGAAAGAAACAGGTCAAGGAGATAGTTTTGGAAAGGATAGAATTCAAGGAGGGAGTTTACAATATAATTTCTTTCAACTGGTTTCAAGAAGTATTCAAAACCACATTAAGCAAAGAAGTAAATAAACCACATCACAGACCCTTCCAGATCTTATCTGGGAGTCAGGACATAGCATAATTACCGGCTATTCCTTTTATTTTTATACTTATCAAGTCATGATACCCACAGCAGTTTATTGCTGTGTGCTATAGCATAATACCCCAGATAATCAAATGCATCTTCCTGGAGAATTTTATTCAAGAATTTACAGGAAAGGCAAATAACTTTCACATTAAAATTAATGTAAAATGTTATAGAATGGAATGTAAATACTGCATATATTTTAAAGATAAAAGTGGAGGCCAAAGAAATTGGCACTTGCTCAGACTTTAGAGAATCTCTGGCAGTCCATGTTCCCTCTCTTTGCTGACCTGATGGCACAAATTTCAAAGTAAACCCGAGGCTCTGTTCTCATTCTGTCCACACTCTCTCCCACCAGTGCTCTACTGCTGCAAAGATTTATTTATGGTCACTCTAAAATAAATATTTACTACAGCAGGATGATGTTTAAAAAAATTTTTGCAAACATAATACTAAAAAGTCTACAACTTCAAGCTTGTAGTCTGCAACTTCAAGCAACTATTAAATGATAATCTCAATAATTTTTTATGGTTTATGGAAAAATATATGAAGAGATGCTATGTATATCTATATTTATAAAATAGATAAACAATCTTAGTTTACAATAATATTTAAGACCTTTTTTACCTCAAACTTTTCAGTCAGTTCTTTCTCTCTGAGGCTGTTAGGAGAAACGGCAAGTGACTGGCCCTGGAATATTACAACTGTTTTATATACTCAATGGTATAATGGAATGGAGACATCTGTGGTTTGAAGGCCTCTCCCCTAGGATCAATTATTACTCATCAGCTATCACAGTATGTTGAAATTGGGGAATAACCAATGTTTAGTTTCATGGAAACTACCTAATAGTTACTACCAAGTACCAAAATCTTTTTTTTTAAAATTTTCTCCAGATTTTGAGTCTTGTATATTTGAGCTTATCATTTTAAATGTTGTTGCTCCATTCTCTACTCTCACAATTTTTTCCTTTAATTTCCACAATTTAAAATACCTCCAAGCATCTTACTAGTACTGATTATAATCTATTGAAAAGCAGATTTGGTAGTGCTGGAATTTTAAGAAAATAAAAAATCTAAATATTGTTAAAGATGAGATTAAAATCTTTTGCATGATTCTGCTTTCAGCGTCTTAATTTTAGTTTTTAGAGCTTCATAGATGAGTGAATTGTCTTTTTGGAGCATTACAGCATCTTGTTTACCTTATAGAACACTGTACTCTGTTTTTCAACTAAAAATTCACTTACAACAGAAAGAGTATAATCATTAAGTGCTGGACTATGAACCAGAGCCCACACATTCAAGAATTACCATAACTATGCTTGCATATTGTATATGTCATTGTAAGGAGTCATAAAATTTGAGCTTTAACTCATTTGAGAGCTTTCAAAAATATTGTATTATTGAATTCAAATTTCTGCTTCAAAAGATGTTATATAGTCCAGATTGTAGTAGCGGTGTGTGAAAGTCCCTTTTCTTCTTTTTATTTTTTTCTAGGAATCAGTTCTTAAGGGAACTCAAAAAAATAATAACAGCTAAGTTTTTTTGAGGATAATAAGCACGCACAAATTTAAATGCTTTATGTATATAATATAATACAATCCCCCAAACAACCACCTTATGAGGAAAGTACTATGAGCAACACCATCTTATTTTGAGACTGAGAAGCAGAGAATATTGATAATCAGTGTGGGTATTATAACTAGTCTCTGGCAGAGATGGAATTGAGCACCAGCGCCAGTTGGTTCTAAAACCTACATTTTTTTTTTAATTATTGTACTTTAATTTCTGGGGTACAAGTGCAGAATGTGCATATTTGTTACATAGTTATACATATGCTGTGGTGGTTTGCTGCATCCATCACCCTGTCATCTCCGTTAGGTATTTCTCCTAATGCTATCCCTCACCTAACCTCCCATCCCCTGACAGGCCGCAGTGTGTGATGTTTCCTTCCCTGTGTTCGTGTGTTCTTGTTGTTCAAGTCCCACTTATGAGTGAGAAAATGCAGTGTTTGTTTTTCTGTTCTTGTGTTAGTTTTCTGAGAATGATGGCTTTCAGCATCATCTATGTTCCTGCCAAGAACATAAACTCATCCTTTTTTATGGCTGCATAGTATTCCACGGTATATATGTGCCACATTTTCTTTATCCAGTCTATTATTGATGGGCATTTGAGTTATTTCCAAGTCTTTGCTATTGTGAGTAGTGCTGCAATAAACATGAGTGTGCATATGTCTTTATAATACAATGATTTATAATCATTTGGGTATATCCCGGTAATGGAATTGCTGGGTCAATTGGTAATTCTAGTTCTGGCTCATTGAGGAATCACCACTGTCTTCCACAATGGTTGAACTAATTTACACTCCCACCAACAGTGTACAAGTGTTATTTCTCCACTCTCTCCAGCATCTGTTATCTCCTGACTTTTTAATGATCGTCATCCTATCTGGCATTGGATGGTCTCTCATTGTGGTTTTGATTTGCGTTTCTCTAATGACCAGTGATAATGATGAGCTTTTTTCATGTGTTTGTTGGCTACATAAATGTCTCATTTTGAGAAGTGCCTGTTCAATATCCTTTGCCCACTCTTTGATGGAGTTGTTTGTTTTTTTTCTTGTAAATTTGTTTAAGTTCTTTGTAGATTCTGGATATTAGCCCTTGGTCAGATGGGTAGACTGCAAAAGTTTTCTCCCATTCTGTAGGTTGCCTGATCACTCTGATGATAGTTTCTTTTTCTGTTCAGAAGCTCTTTAGTTTAATTAGATCCCATTTGTCAATTTTGGCTTTTGTCACCATTGCTTTTGGTGTAAAACCAACATTTTAAACTAGTGCCTTATACTGCCACTGTAACATAAAACTAAAAAAATCAGCACAAAGCAGGAGAAACATCAAACTTTCTTTACCTGTAACTTAACATTAAATCTTATCTCAGTGATTTAAAGAAAACAGCCTGAAGAAACTTAATATATTAAACCTGGGATGTTATTGTATATTGGCTTATATGTTGACCAATTTGGGCTCATAGTACATTTCCCCAGGGGATGACGTGTGTGTGTGTGTGTGTGTGTGTGTGTGTGTGTGTGTGTGTTATCCAGACAGGTGTGCGTGTTCATGTATTATCCACTTCCTTACCTAAAACCTGTCTTTCAGTTTAGTCTACTTCAATTTATTTTATCTGAAATTTCTCTAATGGAGATTGTCAATTGCCACTGAATTGTGAAAACCATAAATGATTTCCTATCCTTGTGTTACTTCTCTTCTTTTAACATTTAACTGTGACTATTCCCATTTAGAAATCTAGTTTTCTCTTCCTTGGCTTTGCTAAGCCAATTTTTCATGTTCTTTTTCTTCTAGTAGCAACAATAGTCTTATTTTCTGATTCACTTTGCTTGATTTATTATACGTGACAATTTGTCTTTTTAGTCTTCACTCTCTCTTATATTAATCTACTTCTGACTCCTTAAGCTATGCCTTCAGCTAAAACTCTTCCCTAATTACTCTAAGTCTTGTATCCAAATGAATAATCCATTTAGAAGTTTGATGGCACATCAACCCAACATATCTAAAACCTAGCTTACTATTTTTCCCTCTTAATATCATCCTCACTTTTATTTAATCTCTCAGCTGATGATCATCAATCACTTGTTTATCCAAGCAAGAAATCTAAGACTCATACTATTTTCTTCTTGTGCCTTCTCTTCCACCTCAAATGGTCATTAACTTTTTCCTTCTTGTAATGCCCTGGAACAAATCTCTTCCGTATTCTTCGTATTTTCCTTAGTTTAGTTTAGGTTCTCATTCTCTCCTAGAGTGTCACAGTAGCCTCTTAATTAGAGTCCCTGTCACCAGTATTATTCTTCTTCAATCTATCTTCCTCAGTAATGCTACAATGATCCTTAAAGTGGTTTTCAAAATTTTAAAAATTAAAGCCACAGTAAAAGGCATTATGTATCATAACTCAGTACACACACACACACACACACACACACACACACACTGAAACAAGGGTTTAATAAAATATTTTTTACCTTGTTTACATGAGGAACATACTGACATTTTTAATTTTTTCAGATATGTTCTATTGTAATCTAATTTTTTACACATCTTTCATTTTATTCTAATTTATATCACTTAAATGTTAGTAGTGACCCACAACATTCATTTCTCAATGGAAAGAGAAGGATTTAAATAGTGGCAGAATGCTAACAATCTAGAAAATGAAATGAACTGCTCAGTGTATTATTCTTACTCATTTGAAGGCTTAAAATATTTTACAATAAAATATTTGGAAAAATGATTTTTTTCTGAAACATTTTCTTTCTCATTGGCTTATAAGCTCCATTAGAGCAAGGATGATACACTTTAAATTCTTAGGTGTTGGATACCTAGCATAATGGTTGCCCTGTAATAAGTAATCAATATATATTTGTGTTCAAAGAATATGCATTTGACTAGTTTCCTATACTTGGAAAAACAGAAAGGAATCACTTTTTGGAAGGGATAAGAAGATAAGAGGACTCTAATCTGGAAAAAGAAAGCCTAATTTGTATGAACAATTGGAAGTTGCTATAATGGAGTTCACTGGACAACTGCCCAATACTTTCTGTTGCTATTGTTTATAATATAATTTTGTACCAATGGATAAAAAATATGACTTAGTATGGAAATATTTATCCCAGAACTAATGTATCAAAAGCATTCTTTTTCAGTTACATAAAAATATAGTTACAGTTTGCAGCAATTAAGCCTGAGCCTTATCCATGTGCAAACATGTAGGCAAACTATGAGACTCCGTTTTCATACATTTGGTGTATACCTAGAGGCATTTAAAATATTTAGTTTAACATGTTGACTCCATAATATTAAATGTTGTGAACATTGCAGATAGTAAATAATGATAGCTGGATAGAAAGGAATATTTCTGTCTTAGCCATGTATTTATCTTAAAATAAAAATTTGCTAGTTTTTTTTTTAAGAACAATCTGCCTTTACAGATTATTTAAAAAGTGAATCTGAGTAACTGAGAAAGAGAATAAACAGTTTTCATTCACTTGTCTAGTTATCAGTTACACTTGAAATGACCTTTGGTCATTTGTCTAGTTATCAGTTACACTTGAAATACATTTTCAAGGTGAAGCTGTCAACTCAACTCTGGATTTGTAGAAGGTTTGTATTATTTTCTTCAGAAAAGTACTTTGATAGAAAAACCTAGCACAAAAAATCTATACATTTCTTATGTTAGTATGTCTTTCCTGTATAGAACTGGATTCTGGTGAGTACTTTTTGCTTTCTTGATCTTTGGCTTCCATTTGTGTTGGCTCACAGGTAGTTCCGATCAAGCCAGGAGGTTGTTGCATAAATCTGTGGCTATCCTATTACTAAAATTCTAGCCACCATGAGGCAGTAGGAATAATGAAGCCAAGGATGGATAGCTCTAAGCTAAATGAGTTAGGATTTCACAGGTAAGACTGTGTTTAGATATTTTGATCTTCCTCTTTATTAGTTGTAGGTGGACAAATCAGGCTTTCTGAATCTCAGTTTTCATCTGTAAAGTGAATTGTCTCTGGAATTGAGAATAAAATGAAATGAAATGTATGAAAGCATTAATCATGTGTCTGACAGCGTTAATGGTGGTTTCAGCAGCATCAGAAGCACTGGCTTAGGATATACTTTAAGTGTAGCCTTGAGTAGATCAGACTTCTTGCTGCCACACATTTTCAGGGGTCCTCAGTTACTTAGGTTCCCTGGCTAATATAAAGATATATAAAAGCAAATTAAGTAGTAATTGGACTAAGATAGGGGCTTGATATGTTAGTTATATAAAAGCAACTTAAGCAGTAATTGGAATAAGATGGGGCTTAATATGTTAGTTAATATGTTAGTTAACATATTAAGCCCCTATCATAACTAACTTAATATGTTAGTTAGCTGACATATTAAGCCCCTATCTTATTCCAATTACTACTTAAGTAGG